CCGGGTGGTCCCGGCCCGCTGCGTGGCGCGCACCGTCCAGCGCTCTCCTTTCCCCGGAGAGGGGGGCTTGCCGCGGCCTCGCGCCTTGGCCGCCGGAGCCACCGGCTTTAAATAGTGGCCTGTGGTCCGTGAAAAAGGCCCCCAAGTTGTATTAAGCTGCACGGCGTGGCGTCTCAGCCGACCCTCGACCCCACTGAGGGGAGAAAATGATCCCCCCCCCGGTTTTAAATGAACAGTCAGTGGTGCTTACGTTCAGATTCCTAGTTGAGTTTTCAGGGGAAGCAGCCTAGCCCAGTTTGATGAAGTGTGGGGCCGCCTTCCAGGGCAGAGGCGAACTTAAGGCGTGCACTCCCTTGCACCCGCTGGGAAGGTGATCATCCACAGTCCCGGCTTCGGAGGAGGAAAACTGTCTTCAAGGTAGGCTCCAAGATACATCCCCAGACGCTTTTGGTGCTGACTTTGCTAACGAGCATTTCATAATGCTATCTCAGGAGGAGGAGGCTTGCAGTGTGCTGAAGATGATTAAAGCCAAAAAGCATTTGCTGCACGTCTTAGAAATGCAGAGATTCCTAGTCCAAGGATTAAATTTCAATACAGTCGAACTCAAAGAAGAACATTTCATTGGATCAAAACTTTGTTCACGTGGTTTTTGGATGTAGGTCACCCCGAATTTGTACAGATGATCAGTGAGTTTATAGAATTGTGTTTTCACTGTGTTCGCTACCCTGCCAGGCTTTAAGAGGTGTCTACGCTGCAGCATACTGATAAGGTGCACGATGGGCTTATTACAAACCAAGCGCTGTTCTGGGCATGGAGATTCGGCCTCATTTGAGTTCACTGCTTCACAAACATGCCACAGGCAGGCCTGGTGGGTTGGAGGAAGCACATGGTCTGCTTCTAGATGGCCTGAACTGGCATCCGGGTCTCTGGACCGGTGCATCCTTGACCAAGTCTCTTAAGCTCCTGGTGCCTCAGATTTCTCAACTGGGAAACGGGTGATAATGTCGCCTTTATCACAGGATGAGTATAAAGCCTGCCCATCGTAAGCAGTGTATCCATATTTGATAGCCTCCTTTTCACAGATCTAAAAATGGAAGCACGGAGAGATCAAAGCCACTGCTACTCAAGGTTTACCAGCCTGTCAGTGATGACCCTGAGATCTGACCCCAGACGACTTGGGAACCTGAGTTCCAACCCCTAAACTCTTTGACCCAAGATTGCTTATTAAATGCCTTTTAGTACTGAAAGATAGCTAAACGGTAGACAGAAATGTCCAGGAGAATATAGAAAAAAATGAAAGTGGGCCTCGGGAGACCTGGGTGCTATTCCCGCCCTCGGGGCCAGGGACCCAGGCTCTGTGACTCAGCCTGGCCCTTTGTAGCGCGGCCCGGAGAGGGAAGCTTTTCTCTGAGTCAATGCCATGAGGCACACAATTCCTTGAGCTTGGGTGAACAAAAGCATCAGATACTTCTGTGTTGTTTTACTACAAGAATGTTATCAAAGCCACATTTACCAAGGGTCCATTACAGGTAGCATTATTTATACTGAAAGGCCAGTTCTTCCAGATGACCGTCTTGAACAAAATAAAGCCAGGTTTCTCTGGTGACCGAGAGCCAGGAGACTAGGCTGACGTTTGATTTGACTTTGGGGTGAGTCAAGTGAATTTTCCTTTGTTGTCCTCAGTTGTGGATTTCAGGTTTAGCTCCTCTGATAAATATTTCACGTGTCACTTGACTGGGCCACAAGGTGCCCAGATACTTGGTTAAACATTATTCTGGGTGTGTCTGTGAGGCTGTCTCTGGATGATACTAACGTCTGAGTGGATGGACGGAGGAGAGCAGACGGCCCTTGGTCAATCAGTTGAAGACCCGAGTAGGACAAAAAGGCTGAGAGGGAACTCCCCCTGCCTGACGGCTTGAGCTGGGACTGTGGTTCCTTTCCAGCTTTGGACGGGTACTGAAACATCAGCTCTTCTGGGTCCTATGGAGTCCGCTGATTTGCTGACTGTGCCTTACAACGTCTGCTCTCCTGGGCCTCTGGCTGCCAACTGCGGGTCTTGGGACTTTTCCACTTTTATGATACTTGAGCCAAATCCCTGTAATAAATCTGTACATCTCATGTTGGTTCTGCTTCTCTGGAAAGCCATGACTACTACCCCTCTCCTGCAACATTTGCTTACAAATTCTCCCTTTTCAAAAGATTCGATGACCACTTTGTTCTTGAGTATTGGTTTTCCTTTTGTTGCAAAATGGAGGCTGGGCGCGGTCGCTCACGCCTGTAATCCCAGCATTTTGGGAGGTGAAAGGATTGCCTGAGTCCGGGGGGTTCGAGACCAGCCTGGACAACTTGGGGAGACCTTGTCTCTACAATATATCAGAAAATTAGCTGGGCCTGGTGGTGTGCACCTGTGATTCCAGCTGCTCAGGAGGCTGAGAGGGAAGGGTCCAGCAGGTCGAGGCTGCGGTGTCCGTGAGCATGCCACTGCACTCTGGCCCGGGCCACCGAGCGAGGCTCCAGCTCAAAAACAGAAAAAAATATATGGCTCCCTGCATGGAGATGTCAAGAGAGGTCTGGGGTCATGTCTGGTCTCCGAGAGCCAATATGGTTCCCGTGGATGGTCTCACGCCTGGTCTGAACGCGGACACCACGTGCCATCAATTTTTCCTCAGCCTTCACCATTCAGACCTTTACTCCTCCAGTTGAGTCTATAGCTTCAAGAGCTCTATGCCACTGCACTCCAGCCTGGGCGATGGAGTGAGACTCCAACTCAAAAAAAAAGATCTTTATGCACATGGTCCTGAGTGAGGGGAGGGTGTCTGTGGCAATAAGGGAGACAGCTGTCCTGTATTTATGGGTACATAGAATTAATGCCAAAGAGGGTCCTTAAGTATGTAAATATGGGGGTTGTCAGAAAGAAAGTAGATTTGTTTGTGCTTGGTGACGCCGTTCTTGGAACCAGTAAAAAGTAGGCAGACAAGGAATGAAGCAGCCGGACGGGTGTGAGCCTTGGGGAACAGAATCCTGAAACAGGTGTTGAGAAACACCACGAAGGAGAGGACTGCAGGAAGGATGAGGAGACCGTCTGTCCATGGAAGTTGCTGGACACCAAAGGAAAAAGGCCAGTGGAGGGAGGTGGCTGTCAGGGAGTGGACGGCCAGGAGTGTGAACAGCAGGCTGTACTTGGATAGTGGGGAAGACGCCTTGTAAGGCATGGAGGGGGCTGTTTTGTAAGTGTAGAAGCAGAAGGCATCTACTTACTCCCACCTTCCTAGAAAGGCAACCGTGGTCCCAAATCAGTCCCCACCCCGCTGGGTGACTTATGGGCCGGGGCCGCTCACCATCCTAGCCTGCAGGACTGTGGTTGTCTTGCATTTGTATCCACAGAACTGAAATGTTTTGAGATTAAATGACAAGATAAGGTCTTAGAGGTGATTTAAATGATTGGAGCTAGAAGGAACTCCCGGCTTCAAGCTGTCCTCCCACCTCAGCCTCCCAAGTAGCTGGGACGCCAACGTGCCTAGCTATATTACTGTTTTTTTAAAAACAGCAACTTCCCTTGAACTGATGGCACTCTCCCTTTCACTGGATTTTCTGTGTAAAAGAAACAAATAAGCTAGACTTAGGAAAAGAGTGGGGAGTAAGCCTTGTATGTGCATAGACACCTCCACCCATCAGAAAACAGCAGACACAGGCAATTCTCAAACCATAGTTCTGGGTGTGAGGATATGACAAGTTATAGGCAGGGCATGTCTGTCTAGAGGATCTGGGGCCTTTGCTAGTAGAAGATATTCGCTTATAGGAAAGGCATGTCTATCTAAAACATCCAAGGCCTTCTGCTGGTACCTGGAGCCCGTGTTGGGATTTGCACACGCTTCCCAGAGTGGGAACGCCCCCTGGATGGCTTCTGGCTTCTTGACTTTGCCAGGCCTCACTCTGGACTGTGCAGTTTTTTGATCACATGGGGTCAAGCAGAATAAGAGAAGTTCCACTGGCTGGGGAGGCAGCAGTTTTCTTGCAAGAGGACGTGAAGGTAGGGACGAAAGCTTAGGTCTGTCACTTTACACATTTTAATGATGTCCAAGGCCAAACCGCAATTCATTTGGGGCTTGCTATGCAGATCGGGCTGTTCACGTAACGCGTTTGTCTTCACGCTTGCTTTTTTGTCCATGTTTGTGCTCTGGGATGTTTATTCACCCACCTGTTCATCCATTTGTTCACTTGTTCCACAAGTATTCACGAAACCCCTGTCCCTGTGTGTGTTCCTTGCCGGTGAGGCCCCAGCGATACCTTGTGCCCTCCTTTTCATGTTTATGTGGGTGGGGACACGGGTGATCACAGCGTGGTGTGGTGTCATGAAAGCATGGCATGTTTATAATATACTCTTAGAAAGAGCTCACAGTAACAGATGCGTTTTCCTATCTCTGAAAAACGCTGGTTGATTGCTGATAAGCAGTGCCGTTTCCCTGGTGGCGTTTAAAGATCTGACTTACTGGAGCTGCTTCTGCATGTGTTGTGGAAAGGGCTTGGGGACAGTCACAGATTCCTCTTGAGGAAATAGCCATGAGGAGTCTCATAAAGCAGGAGTGATGCAGAGAAGCACTTTGGGGTTTGGAGGAGAAGGAGAACGTGAGCCATTTGACCATAGGAGGTAGTCAGAGGAAGGGAGCATTAGGAAGGATGCTTTAAGAAGACTTTTGCAAATCTGGCCTTGTTTTTTTTTTTTGAGTTGGTGTCTCACTCTGTCGCCCAGGCTGGAGTGCAGCGACCGCTCCCGGCCACCACAGCCTTGACCTGCTGGGCTCCGGCGATCCTTCCGCCTCAGCCTTCCGAGTAGCCGGAACTACAGGCACGCGCTACCACGCCCGGCTGATTTTTTTATTGTAGAGATGAGGGCTCGCCAAGTTGCCTAGGCGGGTCTCGAACCCGTGGGCTCAGGCAATCCACTCACCTCTGCCTCCCAAAGGCACGGGATTACAGGCTGAGCCACCGAGTTTGGCTACAAATCTGGCCTTGTTAAACCTTGTGTGGAAGTCCCCTGTTCGGGACGGATGGGCCAAGGTCCTGAAGCCCCAGGGATGCCAAGGGAAGCTGTCCCCCAAGCCAGCCCCTCGCTTAGTTCTCCAGAAATCCTTCTGGTAAAACAAACAAAAAAACACGAACTTCCTGGTGTTCCGTGTCCTCGCACTCTTCTGTTGCATCTGCTCTCCTTCCTTTCTCTGATCACCGCCTCTCTCTACTTTCCTTTGTTCTCTGTTGTTTTTCCTTCTCCCTGTTTTCTCTAGCTCTGACACTTCCCCCACTCAAACTTTGTTTTACAGTTTTGAAGTCTGAAATTTCTTTTTTTTTTTTTTTGAGTTGGTGTCTCACTTTGTCTCCCAGGCTGGAGTGCAGTGGCACGCTCACGGCCACCGCAGCCTCCCCCTGCTGGGCTCAGGAGATCCTTCTGCCTCAGCCTTCCAAGTAGCTGGAACCACAGGCATGCGCCACCGTGCCCGGCCAGTTTTTTAATTTATTGTAGAGATGAGGCCTCACCAAGTTGCCCAGGCTGGTCTCGAACCCGTGGGCCCAGGCAATCCTCTCACCTCGGCCTCCCAAAGTGCTGGGATTGTAGGCGTGAGCCACCGCGCCTGGTCAAGTCCGAAATTTCAAAATAAACTGCACTGATAGGCTTGTGAAGGTTTACAGCTCCACTGCTGTTTGCTGGGAATGGTTGAGACCTGCACATCATTGCTGCCAGCCTTTCTGGGTTCTCATGCTCACGCCTGACTCAAAGCTGGGCTGGTGAGACTTTCAGGGTCAAAGTTATCTCCAGGCCACCCGCAGTGCAGAGCAGTTCACAGGCCTGGAGTCAACCTTGTCCCCTCAGACCCAGCTCTTTCGAATACCCTGATGGTTCAGAGCCTGAGGGAGAATGACGCCAGGGAACTATGCAGCCCTAGGAAGGGGTGAGAACTACAGGACACTGCAATTTCGGTTTGATTCAATGAAACCCCAAGTCACTGGGTATTCCTTATGCTTAGGCGTCTCCCTGTGTCCTGTTACCCAATTCTCAGCATTCCCGTGGCTCCCCTAATGGACAGGCATTATTGACAGCCTGCAGGGGCAGGTGGAGTTCAGAGAGGGTAAGCGGATTGTACCGTTAGGTTAAAAAGCCTTTTCAGACCAAGATGTCCGACTTTTCTTTGTAGAAATGATTCGTAAGTGGACGCTGACACCCTGAAGACGGTTTTTAGGTGTCTTGCCTCTCGGTTTTGTCTCCCCCAGTCTTGTGTAGCAAAGGCAGGCTTCCCGGCAGCGAATATCATCGGGTGCTCCTGCTCCCCTAGGCATAGTGCAGGCTGTGGACAGGCCATGGGGAACCCCTGGTGTTGGCAGCATGCATGCCCGTCCCTGAATGAGGCATCGGGCCTCCTTGCCTTGCCGTTGACTGGGCCCTGTCTCCCTGGGCCGTCTGTTCTCCTCTCCATGGCGTTGCTTCTCTGCCCCTTGCCCTGCTGGGTCCCCCGGCTGACCCACTGCCCACACAGGTCACACTTCTGTGCGGCCCACCTGCCCTCTCAGGCTCCTCGTCTGAATGCCCTCCATACCCGGGCGTCTCCCACATGCCCTTGGCAAGCGGCACCATGACCTGTCTGGCGTGCACCTCTCTTCTTACTCGCATGTTCTTGAGGGTCGGGGCCTGCAAGTAGTCACCTTTGTATCCCAGCACTTGGCATGACGTCGGGCACGTGGTTCCGGTGCAACTTGTTGTTCTTGAATGAATGAATGAATGGATGGATGGGCGGGTGCTTTATGGACTTAAAAAAATGCAAGTTATAGAGGATTTCTGTTTTTTCCATCCAAAGAGGCTTTGGGTTAACAGTAAACACACAGGGTTTTAGGAATAATCTTCCATTTGGCAGCATGTCACAAAGGGAGGCATTAGATTTGGACATCGTGGAAGAAGGGAAGTGCTGAGCTTCCTCATTTCTTTCTGAAATCTTGGATCTGGCTGTCAGGTTTGCGCTTCACAGAATTCTTTGGAAGTCCATGAGAGGACCACCTCAGCTGGTGCCCTCTGCTGTGTTCCTAACTAGTGCTTATTTTGTGCCCTGCCCTGCCCTGCTAGTCGAAGCAGAAACACTCTGCTAATCATTAAAACCGTTGAGGCCTCGTGGAGAAGGCGAGGGAGGAGGTGGGAGAGACCGTCAGCAGGAACAATCGTGCAGAACAGGAGTCAAGCACGGGCCGCCTGCCTCCTCGTGGGTGGACCCGCTAAGCAGATCACAGCTGACATACTGCTTCTGCTGGGAGTCGGTATCCATGACGGTGACATTGGTTGCGGATGGTCTCAGTTGTGCCTTGAGCAGATGCGGAGCCATATTTATTCACAGAGTTTCCTCCCTTCGATTTTTTTCTGTCCTCGTCTTATGGAACTGGAGGAAGCGGAAGACCTGTATGCCAGGCGTATGGCCATTACTATCATCAGTCACCTTGGGGGAGACGTGTGCACCCCTTCCCGGGCTGCACACCCAGCACTGGAGCTCTGTGAAGATTGTGGGCACAGTGTGTCAGCCATCTCCCTTCCCAGCCGGGCTGGGGCTTGTCCGCCCACGTTCCTACCTTTCTATTTGGACCCAGAATTCGTTTTCTCTAAGTTATGTGATTATTTGAGAGAGCACAGCGAGTTCTCTTTTTTCGTGAACTGGGCTTCGGTTTTTCCACCCATAAAATGAGGAAGTTGTCATCGATAATCTCGGGAGTTGTTTACAGCGTTTAAAATTCCACGATTTATAGTTCTCTCTCCTTTTATAGTTCTCATTTCAAGTTCCCAAATCATTATTCCCGTGTTTGTATGAGCAGAATGGGCAATGAGCCTGTCGTTCCATGCGAAATGGCAGCCTTTATCGGAAAAAGATACGTTAGAAGGACAGCTCTCAGTTGTGATGTCACCACCGACAGCCGCCTTCAAGGCCCAGAACGGAGGTATTACAGGAAAACATCGACTCTTCTGCCAGCGTAGCTGCTGCAACCCGAGAGGGCCTCCGTACAGAGGATATTTATATGTTGGGTTTCAGAACAATAATCCCAATGCTCAAGAGCCTTGTCTTGTTATGTTATCACAAGAATGTCCAGACAGTGTTTTCTTTAACTCCGGGAAGAGTATTTAGGATGGGCCCTGCCACATGTGTCCAGCTGCATGTTTATTGCCGTTGGGAGAAAATGATTCTATAAACATCGAAATGACCAAGTATGGATACTTGAAGGATGTTCCCTTCTTTGCTTACAGTGGTCAAGTCCTTGTATACACAAGAGTACAAAATTAATGACCTCTATCAATTGTAATCACAAACCAGGCAGCCTTAGAAGGTCTGATTCTGGGATTTCACTCTCATGTGGGTCGAAATGACTGAACATCGACCCAGGTTTGCTTAGAGTTTGTGAAACATTGCTTGGAGTTACGTAGCTAAGCAGCGTACCTACTGAATGACCTAGAAAACCTTTCACTTTTAGCAGATGAAATATGACCACTTATTCCTGAAGCAAACAGACTGTAGTTTTAATGCCCTAGAAGCGCCTCTCCACACCAAGTCTTTCCCTCCTAGGCTTTTGTTTCTGGGGACGTTCTGACGTGTTTTGATGCAGTGGTCGTATGAAAGGCCTGTCCCTCGCTGTGCACACTGCATGCTCATCCTGGAAAAATGCATGAGGCCTGGCCTGGAGATGCAGTCTTGTTCCCTGTGAAAGGCCCGAGGTATTGCTGGGAGAGCCATTGGCAGCAACCACTGCATTTCTGACTGTGTGACAATCCCTGTTCTTGGAAGCAAGCCTTTCCCTTTGTCCTGCTCTGCTCTCTGAGTACCTGGGCAGCTGCAGGAACGATCTTTTCCTCTGAGAGAAGTGACTCCTCCTGGAGGGTGTTGGCGGTTTTTCTTGGGCAAGGTCAGATTGTATTTCCCAAGACTAATAATGCTGTCTTCAAATCTAATGCCGGTTTTCCCAAGTCCCTCCATTTTGCCGCCGCAGTTTCTTCCTGTTCAAATTCATGAATCCTAAAGGGGTGCTCATGGAAAATCTTTTTATAGAAACAGGTGTATTGTTTCTGTGCCTGCCTCTCTATTTTGGGGACAAGGAGAAGGGGCAGAGTCAAGGCTCGGTCACACGTTTGAAGCCTACATAGTCGGATGGGGTTCTGATGCCAGCTCATACGTGCACCCAAAATTGGGACAGCATCTCCTGCTACGGTCCATGATACTTGGTGCTTTTAGAGAAGTGGCATGCATTCAGACACAAAACCACCCCAAGCAATTACAAAAAAAGTGTGTTATCACCGAGAATTATGACCTCTGGAACTATCCACCCAGAGGAATTAGCCACCTTTTGGCACAGACAGCGGGACAGCAGATGGCTTTGTATGCATGGTGTTCAGAGAGTGCTCACTGGGACCTGAGTGTTCTCTTCTCTTTGACAGCTTGCTGAAAAGCCGGGTGTCAAGATGACCGAGCGCTTTGACTGCCACCACTGCAATGAATCTCTCTTTGGCAAGAAGTACATCCTGAGGGAGGACAGCCCCTACTGCGTGGCATGCTTCGAGGCCCTCTATGCCAACACCTGTGAGGAGTGTGCCAAGCCCATCGGCTGCGACTGCAAGGTACTGATGCAGGCATCCCGGCCCCACGAACCCCAAGAGTGCCAGCTTCTCTGTGCAGTTTTTGCTGCGCTCTAGCCCTTATCACCATTGAGGTCTGTCCCTTGAGCCCCCCGTGATGGGCTGGGACCCTGTGAGTAGCTTTTCCCTCCGCTGATGTGTTCTCTGCCTGCAAGCACTCAGTGCGGGCGTTGTCACGGTGTTTGTGCTAGCGCCCTCAGTACGCTTTCAGTATTCTAGCTATTAGCACCCTTATCTAACCACCCACCTCGCCTGTCAGTCCTATAACTTTGGGCAAGGTTCTCTTCCTCCTGCCCGTTTGCCTCTTGGTGACTCGCATGGAGTCAGTGCTGCTCAGTCAATGTTCCAGGAATAAATGAATGCATGGGAGAACTGGAGTTGGCCCCCAGATAAACAGGCACATGAAAGCCCTAAGGTCCTTAGAATGCTGGGGGCTCTTTTCCTTTTAGTGAGAGAAGAGCAGGGTTTGTATTGTTCCTTTTTGGGGGGGGAAGGAATCAGCAGCTGTCGTTGGATGGCACAGCAGAGGCTGCTGGTCATCTGTGGGGACTGCCCCGTGGGTGAGGGTTGTGTACCCTGGCCTGCACATCTCAGCACATCCTTTGTTCAGCCTGGACCACGGATGACACCCTGGGTACCCATCCATTGCTCTGAGATCTGTGATGTCTTCAACCACAAACAGCTGTTAAAACACACGGGACAAGCCCTTCCTATGACTGTCATCCATCCACTAACGGACAGGGCAATTTCTGGCTTTTTTGTTTTTTTTTTTGAGTTGGAATCTCACTCTGTCACCCAGACTGGAGTGCAGTGGCCGCTCCCGGCCACCGCAGCCTCGACCTGCTGGACTCCGGCGATCCTTCCGCCTCAGCCTTCCAAGTAGCTGGAACTACAGGTGCG